AAGAGATTTCTTCGAGATTTTGCATATTTTTAATGCTTTGATGATTATTTTTCTGATATTCTATATTTTTTTGCACTTTATTTTACTCCTTGTTTTGCTCTACCTAAGTTTTATCCTGACTTAATAGTTTGTTTCTTTTCTTACTATGTTATATATTCACTCCTTATCAATGTGTTCCTTGTAATATATGGCATACTTTTTTTTCTTCAAATCTCTTTAGCATATCTTATCAATCCGTTCCCTAAGTTCATTTCTCTTGACTGATTCACTGGCTAACTCCTCCACACATACCCGAATAAAGATAGGTTTTTTGGGCCTAAAAATGATATTGCTCGTTTAATTCATAATGTTCAAATTATTTTGTCCCAGGAGGTTACGTTTTAGCTTATTACATATATCCACGACTCGAATCCAAGTATTCCTCAGAATGAGGAGAAACAGAAATGTCAGTCTGTTTTGGAGAGGAACAACTTTTAAGTGTCATGCTTTAGCGAATTTCGATACAAAATTATGCCTCTATCATGAGAACATTTATTATCCTCTCATACAATGGCTGAAAATCATAATTACCTGATAAATGTGTTAGATAGATTTACACATTTTCCTATATTAAAAGCAGAATACTGACACTTCGTTATAGTAAGATTAAAATGTTTTTAAACAATCAAGTAGTAATTAATACTCAAATTACTTAAGCTAATCTTATTTGGATTCAGTAGGTTTTGAAGCTCTTATAAAGCTCTTATTAAAATAATCACTGCAAAATAAGTCAAATCGTCAGTAAAAACAATTAGTAATTGCCATAAGATCTCCAAATATGATCACCGTACACTCGCTTTTATACACGTTTGGTAGGTTTTGATACACTTGGCCACTTTTTTGTACGAATCTTTTGGCACCCCCAATTACCTTACGCTTTCATCCAATTTGTGGCATTTTTCACAATTCTTCGTGTATGCTTTCCGGTCATGTTTATTCCTGACATTTAAGTTTTCTTTCTCTTCCTTCAGGCTATCGATGTCAGTTTGAATGGCTTGCATGGCCTGGAAGTGCCAGCTCGTCGCGCTATTCATCAGCTTGAGGCCACGATTCGCTTTATCAATATCTCTACCAACTTACCGACCGACTTGATCGGACTTTCTCAGCTTATCGGTGAACCAATGCAAGTTGATGACGCTACTTTGGCTGCTCTGGCATCACTACCACCCGCCTCAGCCTGTGAGCTACGGCTCGACTTTCTACAACGTTTTCTTAGCTTAGAAGAACTAGGGACTGCCTCTAATGCCACTGCTGGAGCTAGTGGAGCAGGTGTTGGCCCCGGGGCATCGTCTGCTTCAGGGCCCACGGCCAATCAGTCTGCTGGTTCGTCAAGTGGTTCTTTGTCGGCATCTGCGGCCGCAGCAACCTCTGCCGTTGCAGCAGTGACTTCAGTGCCCGGTGGTGCATCTTTTGGAACTGGTCAGGTCGTGGTTGGCGTCCTAATGACCCTCGAAGTCATCCGAGTTCTATACACCAATCTGGTACTTTACTTGTTCTTTAATTCAATTTCTTTAACTTTCTTTTTAAATAACACTTTCATTTTTTATCTTTTCTTCATATTCTTCTTTTTTTCTATTTCCGAACTTACAGCATAATTTTTAATTCTATTCCCACTCTTTATGTATTTTTTTCTCACAGAACTCTCCGGCTTCTCTGTTACTTAATATACGCTTCATTAGCCGTGGCATTATCAATCTCCTATCGCGACATCTTTCAAATTTGAGGTTAATGCGGGCTTGTGCCGGCTTCTTGCGAGGCCTTCTTAATAGGTTTCCTGCGGATGCATCACCGCGCCAGAAGCTTACCACTCAGCCTGAGCTCGTCGAGATATACACAACTTGGCTGAAAGTCATTCAAGAGGCTTTCAATCTTCCTGGGGATGGGTAAATATTTCCAGCTATCATATCTAATATTTTCAAACACTTAATCTAGGACCCTAAATGCACTCACGTTGTATACTTTTCTCATTAATGCATGCTTCACTAAGTGCATTTTTATGATGAAGAAATATAAGTCATTTGCTATTTATGTACTTATTCATATCTAGCTAAATATGAGTAAAATCAGAGTTTTATTTCCTCTTTGTTTTAGACAGGTCAACTACCTATATTTAAAAAGCCTTGTGACTAACCATCCATTTTCATTCTTAATAAGGATTCATTGGTACTTGCTATTTTATGTAACATATGATTATAATAATATAATTACCTTTGAAAGCGAAAACATCATAGCTT